CGGGCTCAGGCAATCCACTCACCTCGGCCTCCCAAAGCATGGGATTACAGGCTGAGCCACCGAGCCCAGCCCACTGCTGTGATTTTAAGCCAGGGAGTTTAACTGTGAGGTTTGGCTGAGCCATCCAAAATCAGAGTAGTTTGCACTAAGAATGTAAACTTAAAACGAGAGGGAGGCCGCTTTGAATGATTACAAATATGTCTGCCCACAGTACAGCTCGAAGCCCCCTCCCCACAAAAGAAACAAAAATATGATTGAGAGGCCACACCCAGCCAAGCTGCTCACTCCAAAGGCCTTGGGGTAGGGGTCCTAACTGTGGCTGGTGCTGAATGGACACTAGGTTGGCTCCAGAGCAGACTCAGCCCCCCGATTTCCAGGTGTCTCTGCAAATAAAGTTCCCAACTTCTGTGCCTTTACCAAGGGAGGGGGAGGGGAGAGGATACATAAATGCTGGCAGTTTTGTTGACTCCACCCCGAACCAGTCCTCTAAGACCGCGGGTCTTAGCCAGGGAGGGCAGGGATCTGCTACTGTTACCACTCCTTCTTCTTCTCATCCATAGAGACGCCCCCAGGGCCCAGGGCCACCACCAGGAGCAAGCCCCCAATCACCGACATGGTCTGGAAGAAGTCGTATTTCAGGAAGTCGTGCATGGGCTTGTAGACGGGAATGGTCCAGAAGGCATTGAAATACACGTTGATGGCAAACAGCCAGACAACAAGAGTCAAAGCAGCCAGCTTGGTTTTAAAACCAATGGCCACTAAAATCATCAGAGCTGTGCCCACGATGTTCTGCACAATCTGCAGAGTTTGAAAGGCAAGAAATTAAAAATAAACGTGAGGAAAAAGGAGACAGCATGTTTGATAAATAGGAAAGCACCAATGGCCGGTGTTACTGAAGCACTAGCTGATGCAACCGCAGAGATGGCTAGCAAGGTGGAAATGTCAGGTGGGGAAATCACAGCAAGGGTGCAGGCAGTGGACAGAGCCGCCTCTCAGATGTGCGAGGCTGAGGGAAGATCCCTGGGATCTGCCCAGATGGCCTCGGAGCCACAACTAAGTTCCCAACTGCTTCTTGGCCCTCCATCCTTCCAGACTGGAAGCCCCTTTCTCCTTCCCACGGTGCCAGGGTCCCTTCCTTGACACAGTGCCCAGCCAGGGCTCCCGGTCAGCTTTATAGGTGTGCTCTGTGAGTACCTGGACTCTGTGGCCCTGACACCCAGCACACAAAAGTGCCGATGAAGGCATGGCCAGTGAGGAAGAAGAGGATTGACGAGCCTATGCAGAGAGCCTCAATCAACAGCCTGGAGAACAAGCACACTGGCACCAGGACCCACCAGCAAGGTCAGGGAAGCTTGGGCTTAATTTTGGGGACTAGGACCTTCCAATGAGGTCAGGGAGGCCTTGGGCTTAGTTTTGGGACCAGGACCCTCCAGTGAGGCCAGGGAAGCCCTGGGCTTAATTTTGGGTACTGGGACCCCCACCAGTGAGATTAAGAAGACTTCAGGTTCAATTTTGGGGACCAGGACTCACCAGTGAGGTCAGGGAGGCTCTGGGCTTAATTTGCTAGAAAGGCAGCTGCTTGGCCCACAAGAGAGGGATGGTTTTTTGTCTGTTTTAATGGGATCACAAGGCTTGTTCCCTCTGAGTGACTCCCATAGGCTATGGTTAGCACAACCAGGGAGGGGCCACGTTTGCTCTAGAAGGACTGGAAGCCAGACCTGCTCAAGCAGACAGTAATACTTACCGAAAAGAAGCTGGCATCAAAGTGAAGGAGGGTCATGAACATGAGAACCAGCAAGACCCTGCCTCCCAGCTGCATGTACTGCTTGGGGGAGCTCTCGCGCATGGTGGGGACGCCGGCAAACATGCTCTTCCCTTCAGAACGTGACTCCGCCAGCAGCAGCAACAAGCCTCCTCCCAGGGCCAGGTTCCTGAGGAGCAGAAATGCTAGTCAGAAGTGAAAACTCAGCAGGCATCTGGTCTGTGCATCAGACCAGACCTGGGGGACCTCTGTATGTGCGTGGGAGGGGCCCATACTTCTGTACAAACCCAGTGCTCTGCTAAGGAGGCCCCAGCAGGCACATGCACAGGCCATGGACTCTGGAGCCAAACTGATGTTAGCCCTTACAAGCTCCGGGCACAAGTGGCTTTACAACTCAACCTGATGGGCCACCTAACACATGAAACCGAGCTGTGCCTTCCTTGTTGCCAGCTGGGGCCCTGTGAACAGGAGTCCTTCCCTCAGTCCCTCAGTCCCCACAGCCGTGAAGGGTCAGAAAAGTGGCTTCACCCTCACTACTGTTGTGGGGACTCTGCCACATCCACTGCCGAATTTGTTTCAAAGAGGCACAGTTTAAGCTGGGCACGGTGGCTCACGCCTATAATTGGAGGCCGAGGTGAGAGGATTGCCTGAGCCCATGGGTTCGAGACCAGCCTAGGCAGCTTGGTGAGACCTCATCTCTACAATAAATAAAAAAAATCAGCCGGGTGTGGTAGCACATGCCTATAGTTCCAGCTACTCAGAAGGCTGAGGCAGAAGGATTACCTGAGCCCAGCAGGTTGAGGCTACAGTGGCCATGAGTGTGCCACTACACTCCAGCCTAGGCAACAGAGTGAGAGACTCCAACTCAAAAAAAAAAAAAAGAAAAAAAAAGGCACAGTTTAGACGCAAAGAAGCTGATGCCAACAGACAATTATTGGGACCAGAAGGTTTTTGGATTTTTTTCAGATTTTTAAAAATTTGCATTATTATTATTATTATTATTATTATTATTATTCAGGGTCTTGTTCTGTTGCCCAGACTTGAATGCAGTGGCATAATCATTGTTCACCATAGCCTCAGCCTTCTGGGCTCAGGCAGTCCTCCCACTCAGCCTACCAAGCAGCTGGGACTACTGGCATGCACTATCATGCCCAGCTAATTTTGTGATTTTTTTTGTAGAGATGAGGTCTCACTAAGTTGCCCAGGCTGGTCTTGAACTCCTGGCCTCAAGTAATCCTCTCACCTTGGCCTCCCAAAGTGCTGTTATTACAGGCTGAGCCACAGCACCCAGCCTGTAGTTGACTTATATATACTTACCAGCTCAACATCCCAAATCAGAAAATCCCAATTCTGAAATGCTCCAATGAGTAATTCCTTTGAGTGTCATGTTGTTGCTCAAGAATTTTCAAGGCCAGGAGCAGTGCCTCACGCCTGTAATCCCACCATTTTGGGGCTGAGGCAGGAGAATTACTTGCACCTAGGAAGAGTTTGAGACTAGCCTGGGCAAGACAGTGAGAATGTGCCTCTACAAAAAATACAAAAATTAGTTAGGTGTGGTGATGGGTGCCTGGAATACCAGCTACCCAGGAGGCTGAGGCAAGAATATTGCTTGAGCCCAGGAGGTTGAGTCTGTGGTAAGCCGTGATTGTGCCACTGCATCCCAACCAGGCGATAGAGTGAGACTGACTCAAAAATTTTTTTTGTATTTTACAGCATTTCTGATTTTGGCTTTTTGGATTTGGGATGTTCAACCCGATAGAGCAAATACTGAAACTCACCAGTCAGAATGCACATACCTCATCAAAAACTTCAAGTCCCATAAAATGCTGTAGGCAATTGTCTGCGGGGAATAGGCAGAGAGAGACAAACTTGAGTCAGCATTTTCAGATGAATTTCTACAGAATTACCAATAGCATGAGGTGGTTTTTCTAATATAAGTGGGAATACAAAACACACAAAACTATCTTAGGGCACTGACAATAGATCCAAGTTCAAAAACTTAAGTTAGCCGGGCTCAGTGGCTCAGCCTGTAATCCCAGCACTTTGGGAGGCCGAGGCAAGCAGACTGCCTGAGCCTGTGGGTTCAAGACCCACCCGGGCAACTTGGCGAGACCTCGTTTCTACAACAAATCAAAAATTAGCTGGGCGTCGTAGTGCGTGCCTGTAGTTCCAGTTATTTGGAAGGCTGAGGCGGAAGGATTGCTGGAGCCCAGCAGGTCGAGCCTGCAGTGGCCAGGAGCGTGCCACTGCACTCCAGTCTGGGCAACAGAGTGAGACTCTAACTCAAAAAAAAAAAAAAAAAACCTTAAGTGAGACCCAACCAGGCGCCCCGTACCCCTGTGGTGCGGCGATTCCAAAGTAAGACCCGACCAGGTGCCCCATGTACCTGCAAGGCTATGATTCCAAAGAGCCCAAAGCAGGCATACTGCACGAAGTTCCTACTCAACACCAGGACGCAGCCAGCTGGAGAGGAGAAGGGCATGGGTTAGCGGGGGTCCCAGGCAAGCAGACTGTCATGGTACACTGCCACCTCACCTGGCCCTCTGGTTCAGAGGCAGCCAAACCATCTACCCAAGCAAAAAAGCAACTTTGGGAGAATTAGTGATAGGCAAGGACCACGTATGAGTTAACTGGACTTGATATATGAAAACAGTAATCTGGGCCAGGTGATGGCTCATGCCTGTAATCCCAGCACTTTGGGAGGCTGAGGCAGCAGCCTGGTGAGCACAGTAAAACCCCATCACTATAGAAAAAAATTTTTAAATTAGCTAGGCATGGTGGCATGCACCTGTAGATCCAGCTACTCTAGAGGCTGAGGCAAGAGGACTGCCTGAAGCCAGGAATTGGAGACTAGTCTAGGCAACATAGCAAGATCTTACTCTCTACAAAAAAAAAAAAAAAAAATTAGATGGGCAAGGTGACACACACATGTAATCCTAGCTTTTTGGGAGGCTGAGGCAAGAGGACTGCTTGAGCCCAGGAGTTCAAGGCTGCAGAGAGCTATGACTGTGCCACTGCACTCCAGCCTGGGCAACAAAGTGAGACCCTCTCTCTTAAGGAACCAGAAAGTCGATCACTTGCTGTAATAAAGGACGAGCCATTTTCCAGCCAGCTGTCCATCAAAGGCAAGCAGTTGACTACTCAGCCATGGAGTTTCAGCTCAGGTGGGAAGTACAGTCCTTTCTGCATGGTAATACACAAAGCAGGGAGGGCTGCCCCCGGACTTCGGTGAAGAGCAAATCTGAGCCAACAGAAGCTGCACTCTGGTCTGGTGCTCTCACTCCTTCATCCTCCTCTTTCCAGACACCTCTGTCCTACCCTTTCCAGACACCTGTCTCTGACAGCCCCAGCTCCTCTTCACCATCAAGGCCCCACCCCCTCTTGTCTGGACCCTGACGGGGACTATGTCCTGTTGCTTTAGCCCCAGTCAGGAGCATGGGACTAGAGACAGCGTTCACCCGAAGGCCTGCAGACCCAAACTCCAGGAGTGGACGGCTGTCCCGGGGCCCCTCCAGTTCACGGTTTTCCAGCAATTAATGGTCACGGAAGCACAAAGCCCTGACGAGCCCTGATGACGCAGAGCCACGTACTCAGCTGCCCCAGCAGGTTGAGGAAAACGAAGGATGAGGCCAGCATGTAGCCACAACTCCAGGTGGTGTCGATGTAGTCACGCTGCTCGCTCCACTGGAACCACATGCGGATGCCGTCCTCCAGGAAGGTGCTGATCAGGCACAGGCGCGCCACATGGGGCAGGTACTGCTTTGTGACTCGGAGGAACTGCAGGACACAGAAACCCAGGTTACGCACTGCCGCAGGGACACCAGACTATGGCAGGTGCTTTCTCGGGCAGGATGGGGCGGGGGCAGGGCAGCAGAGACAAGCAGACGTTGCGGAGGGTAAGAGCTCCCTTAGCCCCGGCACCTGCCCGGGGCAGACTGGGGACTCAGCATCTGCCTGGAGTGCTGCCATGTATGCCTGGACATGTGTGACAATCCAAGCACCAGTCCCAGATATGGAAGGCCTGGCACCGGGCTCAGCTGGCTCAGACCCCGTAGGGTGACAGCCCTAACGCCTTCCCACTGGGACTCCCTGCACCGCCTCAGCAAGCATGTTTAGGTGGCAGCTACAGTCATGAGAGGTGGAACTGCACAAGACACACAGCCTCTCTTCCTGGTCAAGTTAGACTCACAGAAAGACACCTGCAAAGGCCCTTAGAGACCATCTGGCCCAGGTCTTTTCTACTGGTTTTTCCTGGGTTTGGCACTACTGGCATCTGGGGCCAGTCATTATCACACAATCCTGCTGCACTAGTCCAACCCCTCATCTTACAAATGGGTAAACTGGCCAGGTAGAGTGGCTCACACCTGTAATTCCAGCACCTTGGTAGGCCAAGGTGGGAGGACTGCTTGAGGCCAGGAGTTAGAGACCAACCTGGGCAACTCAGCAAGATCCCGTTTCCAACATGGACTGATTTGAGCCCAGCCTGCTGTTACACATGGCTGAGGTGCTGAGGCCCTGTCCTCCCAGCCTTCCCAGTGACATGCAAGCTCCTCCAGACAGAACAAGGGTCTACTTAGGTGACAGTCAGGGCCTAGAGGGTCACATGGTTGACTGAACAGTAAGCTCACAGGTTTACAGTTTCAAAAACCTCAAGAGCAGCAAAAGGATCCCCAGGCTGTGGAGAGCACTCATGTGCACTTATACATGAGAGCAAGCATCTCCCAGCCTGGCAGAGGTCACTGCCCGCTGGGGCGACTGCATACACCACAGCTGTTGTAAGGTATGAAACTGGCATGGCTAATGGCTAGAAAGTGCTGAAATTTTAAAAAATGTCTATGTAAACCAAAGCAAATGAAAAATACACTACCAGGCAGGAGGATCGTCTAAGCCCAGCAGGCTGAGGTTGCAGTGGCCCTGAGTGTGCCACTGCACTCCAGCCTGGACAACAAGAGTGAGACTCCAACTCAACAACAAAAAAAAGAAAAACACTACCAAGTACAATGGAGGACTGTTTGGACAGCCATGAAATCAAGTGCAGAAGCCACTGTCAAAGACAAAGGTAGAAAATACACTGATGCCTTCCTCCTGTCCCTGGTGAGCCATGTCATTTACAACAACTGTGCGCTGCTGATGACAGGTGCAAATGTCACGTAGGTGCACCCCATGCATTTTCTCTTATCACCCATTCAAAACTGAGATATGAAGTGAGAGAAATCCTATGGTCAGTGACAAGTCCTCAGGAGAAAGTTCAGGGACTCACCCAAGGAGTGACATGTCAGGAAGTCTAAAGGGCATGTGAAGGCCAGGCACGGTGGCTCAAGCCTGTAATCCCAGCACTGTGGGAGGCCAAGAGAAGAGGACTGCCTGAGCCCAGGGGTTCAAGACCGGCCTGGGCAACTTGGCGAGACCTCGTCTCTATAATAATCAAAAAATTAGCCAGGCATGGTAGTGCACACCTGTAGTTCCAGCTACTTGGAAGGCTGAGGCGGAAGGATAGCCTGAGCCCAGTAAGTCGAGGCTGCGGTGGCCATGAGCGTGCCACTGCACTCCAGCCTGGGAGACAGAGTGAAATTCCAACTCAAAAATAAAATAAAATAAAATAAAGGACACATGAACATGACCCTTTCACGACAACAGAATGAGTGCTGTCTGCGCAGGCCCTCGTAGGGCTGACGGAACCTATGGTTGAAATAAATGAAGATGAAGGTGTATCTGAGAGTGCTTCCTGCTTTTCAGCATTTTTGAAAGTTACTTCAAAGTTCCAGACACCGCTGAAGCTGCCCACCTTGGTTAATGAGTGTCTGGGTGTTGCGATCCTGCTCCAGGCCTCAAGGGTGGCCCTATGGGGCAAACCTGGCGGCCCTTCTCTTCAAACCAGAGCCCGCACCACATGGTATCAATTCTGTACACATTAAATCAGCCCTTGGCCCCACTCAAGTTGTGGCAGAAACCAGTGACAGACAGACAGACACCCAGAGAAGTGACCAAGTATTCTGGGAGATGAGGCCCTGTGTTCTCAGCCTGCTTAATGCCAGCTGGAAGACCTTGTTTAAAAAAAAAGAAGAGGTCCCAAATATTCTCATGTGAATTTCAGAGCCATGTAAAGAAGGAACACAAGATGTGCACATATGCCATATTGACACACTACATCCTATCAGGAGGCATGGGGACAGCTGAGGCCACATGTCCTCCCCAGGCCCTGCCTCGTGGCCCTGCAGCTTTTGAAATGCCCAGCAACGGTACAATCACCCACCTTCTGCGGAAGAGATAAGGAACAGTACCCCAGCGCCTGACTGAGCACTACCCTAATGTAATGACCTTCACAGTGTGGCCCAGCTGAGAAGCCCTGGCAGTGACACAGGCCTTCACCTCATCTAGACCTGGGGAAGCCACCGCTGGGAAAAGCCCGACTGGAGGCTGGGCAGGACTGTGAAAGGGACTAGGGCCCTGGCAGGATGCCTGAGGGGAGTGGCCCCCGGCGGCAGCCAAGAGGTAGACTGTAGTTCACGCCCCAGGGAGACAGAGGGGTTCCGACTTGCTTCCAAAACGAAAGCTGGGAGCCACTTCCAGGTCAAGGATGGGCTGTGATCTAGCCTCCCCTGGCTCTGGACCACACCGAACACACTCATTTGCTACGTGTACAGCCATGAGATGGAGCCCGTGTTTAAATCCTCCTTGATGAGTCGGCTACTCTTAATTTGAGTGTCTGGATCAAGAGGATTACGAAGTAAAAACCAGAGTGAAGATGGGGCAGGCAATTCACACTTCCCTTCCCCGGGCAACACAGGCAGGAGACAGACGCAGCTCCCGGCTTTGTGAAAGAGAGCAAATGCTCCGGACTGCACTCTGCAGCGAGTGTGTCCACCGCCTGCAGTTCACACTCTCAAGGCAGCCTTGGTCCAGATGGAAGGCTGGCTGGCTTAAGTCAGGCTGCATGTCTCCTCTAGACCAGCTGCCACCTAATGAGCATCTGTTTGGCCTGAACACGAAAGAAAAAGTCGTGTTTACCGACAAGACCAGGCCCAGAGTTCACCTTATTCCCTACACATGTGTTGATCACAGCTGTTCAGACTTGGCCACTGGACCCATATCGTGCCACTCCAGAACGTGTCCAGTATCCCCTCAGCACAGCAGAGAAGAGATCCTACTCCAGCAGGACAGGCAGCAGCACTGAGGATAAGTGGCCACACTGCAGGTGCTCCAGCCTCTGCTGCCAGCCAGCATGCAGGCAAAAGGGCCCCAGGACAGATGCTGCTTGCAAACTCTGTCAACACTGCGAGCACATACAACCTGTGACCGTCCCCCTCCATGAGAGGAGAGCTGGAGGTGGACGCTGACCTAGACAGCTTGTGGGAGGATGACACTCTGCTCACCTCCATCTGCAAGCTTTCTGTTAGCACTCGCCGTGAAGCACACAACAAGTGGATGTGGCTTGTAAGCAGTGACAGCATCCAAGGGATGCGATATGGCCAGCGGAGATGTATTCAGAAGGGGTTACACCCGCCCAAGCAGCAGCTCAATAAAAAATGTTTAAAATGAGCCAGGCGTGGCAGTGTACACCTGTAGTCCCAGCTACTTGGGCAACCAGGACAGAAAGACTACCTGAGCCCAGGAGGTCAAGGCTGTGGTAAGCCATGATGGTGCCATGCACTCCAGCCTGGGAGACAGATTGAGGCCCCGACTCAAAGAAAAAATTAATTAATTAACCAATTAACAAAATACAAGGAGTTATGACTTTAGAGGATAAAAGGGGACTTCAGAAGCACAACCCTGAGATGATAGCAGACTGACCATGATCACAGCCACCTGTAGCTCCCAAGGAAAAATTGACAATCACCGGGGAAAGGCTTGCGGTTCTTAGTTAGAAAGAACTGAAGCAAAAGGCTGGTCAGATCTCTGTAGTCACTAAGGGTTGAGCTGTCCTGCTCAGGGCCAGCTGATGGTACCTGTCTCAGAAGTGAGAACCTATGTCCAAGTGGCTTCCCCACATCTGGCTGAGTCAGGGCTGGCATGAGAGCCGGGTGACTCACTGCGACTCCCAACTTCCCAGCGAGGCTCCCTGCTCCTGGGCTCCTGCTGCATGCATCCTGAAGGCTGGGGAAGTGTCACCGGGCCCTGCTGGGGAGGGTAGTCTGGCTTCTTTACTAAAAACCCGTGTGTGAGAAAAAGCCCAACTGTAGGAAGGACCTAGACAACGGCTGTGCCCCATCTTCCGGGAGGAGCCCTGCTAACCACAGCCTCCCCTGCTTCCCCACGGTAGCCCCAGGAGAGGGGGGTGGCTGTTTTGAACCTCCTGTTAAGATCAGCATGCAGAAAAAAGTGAGTCAGCTCCTCTTTGCCTTCACTCCCCGCTCCTTCATGGCACAGGGCAAGAGGCCCTCTGGGGGGACCAGAGCCTGCCACTGTCACAGAACCCTGCCCACGCCAAACGGCCACCCACACGACATTACTGAAGAGCCTCCACTGCCTGGGTGCCACCCATGGGGTTCACATGTTCCCAGGACCCTCCTCACTCCCCAACACTTCAGCAAAGGCCAAAGCCAGCTCCCAGGAACTGTCACCCTTGAGGACAGATAAAAGGCCAAAGGCCACGATGCAGAGCAAAGCCCCAGCAGCTTTTCTGTCACCTTGGTGCTGAGCCACCAGGCAGAACCCATTGAGTGCTAACATTCCTGTTTACCAGTGTGAAGCTGAAAGCTCTGTCCTGCAGAGTGGCAAACAGGCAGCGCGGAGCAGCTGCAGGCGCGGACATTAGTTTGGATTGCTGAGTTCATTAGAGCTTCTGGCCCCTTCCCATGGCTCCCAAATGCCCGGCTCCCACAGACAGCACGTCTCAGCAGTTTCTCTCAAGCCTGGCTTCCTGGGAGCAAGAGGACACTGTCCCTGGCTGCCAGGGCAAGGAGCTTGATGCCAGAGGCAGAGAGACAAGAGATGTGGCTCAGAAGGAGCCTGCCAGCATAAACCACCCAGGCAACTGTCCCCACGAGCTGGCCTCTGCAGAGCAGCAAGGAACCTCCAGCCCCACCACGAGCCAATACAGACCACGACAAACCTCCCCTAGCTCATCTGAAGATAGACACTATGGCCAACCTCCAGCCATCAGGACGGCCACACAAGTAAAGTGTACCAAAGCCCTGGCCCAGTGCCAGACTCAATATTATTGTCACAACTATCAGAGGACACTGGGCCTGGGAAATTAAGCTTTCTTAGGTCTCCCTCTCAGCAGCCCAGACTGACTAGTTAAATCCTATCACCTTACTGTTTTCTAAGACAAGATTAGAAAAAATGGGTGTACAGCATTATTTGATCAGTAACGTCCATGATAAATCCCCACTGTCTTCAAATCAGATCATTTTCTTAAAAGCCTGGCCTCTCAATTCCCTCCTGTTTTAAATACTAGGTGAGGCCAGGTATATCATGCTCACACCTGTCATCTCAGCACTTTGAAAGAGGCTGAGGTAGGAGGATCACTTGAGTTCAGGAGTTTGAGATCAGCCTGGACAACATAGCAAGACCTTATCTCTACAAAGAAATTAAAAAGTTAGCCAAGCGTAATGGCAGATGCCTGTAGTTCCAGTTACTCAGGAGGCTGAGGTGAGCTGTGATCATGCCACTGCACTCTAGCCTGGGTGACAGAGTGAGGACCTGATTCAAAAGCAAAAAACACTATCTGGATAAATATTAAAAGCAAAAGTGCCAAACCCTGCTTGGTCAAATTTTGTCCAAAGGAAGTGCATTCTGGCTTTGCACCACTGCCTGTCTGCGCCAAGCCTGCCTGTGGCAGAAGAGGGTCCTGACTTGTGTTTTGATGGGCACGTGAGCTACTGCCCTCCCGGGCTGCCCACAGTGGGGCCTGGAAGTTCCTGCTGACACATTCTGCTACCAGCTAGGCAGCCTCTAATAAGATCCACTGACACTGGAGCCTGTGTATCTGACAGACACAGCCCTTATCCACTCAGGCTCTTTGTTTTTGAAGCAGCATGCCCTTTTACCATGCTACTGTTCCCTCTGACCTGTGCCAGAAGAGAAACACCAGGCACTGGAAGTGTGGCGCAGAGGGCACTCGCCTGGGGGGCGGGGAGCTGGGTTTTCCTCTTCTGCCACAGACAAGTCCTCCTGGCCTCCTGAGCAGGCCTCCCCTCCCCCTCAGTAATCTGGGAGAGGTCCACCCTGAGTCCCCCTCAAGGGCCTTTCCAATTCCAAGACTCTGCTGCTTTTGTTTAAGACATAACAACAGCTGGGTGTGGTGGCTCATGCCTATAATCCCAGCACTTTAGGAGGTGAGAGGATTGCCTGACCTCATGGGCTTGAGACCAGCCTGGGCAACTTGGGCAGACCTCATCTCTACAAAAAAAGTCAAAAAACTAGCTGGGCGTAGTGGCGCGTGCCTATAGTTCCAGTTACTTAGAAGGCAGAGGCAGAAGGATCACCTGAGCCCAGCAGTTCGAAGCTGCCATGGCCGTGAGCATGTCACTGCACTCCAGCCTGGGCAACAGAGGAAGACTCCAACTCAAAAAATAAAAATAAAACATAACAACGCATGGAGAAAGGATTACATGACAAGATCCTGAACTTTTGTTTCAGTGGGAGAGTCTATCATTTAAGAGCTGGCAGCAGCTTGCCTGGAAACATTTTATCTAGATTTGGTTATGAAATTCACTTGCAAAACCAGGGTTTTCCAGGCTGAAGAGTGATTGCATGGAGCTCTCATACCTCCCTCAGCTATAAGGAACCACCTTCTTAGGAAGTGGCTACTTGGGGAAATCAAACTGGGTCACTAAAAATTATGTCAATGAAAACTGACAAACAAAAAGGTCTACTTGGTTTTTAAGAGCTTTTGCTTTTGCAAGGGATAGTTTTTAAGTTGTGTCTTTAACACAAAATCGTGACCTTAGGAAAAACTAAGTTGATATACTTTTCCCAAAATTCTACATAGGCCAGCTGGTTTAAAAAAAATCAGCTCAAGCTGGGCTCGGTGGCTCAGCCTGTAATCCCACGCCTTTGGGAGGCTGAGGTGAGTGGATTGCCTGAGCCCGCGGGTTCGAGACCCGCCTGGGCAGCGAGACCTCATCTCTACAATAAATCAAAAAATCAGCTGGGCGTGGTAGCGCACGCCTGTCATTCTGGCTACTCGGAAGGCTGAGGCGGAAGGATCGCCAGAGCCCAGCGGGTCAAGGCTGCGGTGGCTGGGAGCGGCCACTGCACTCCAGTCTGGGCGACAGAGTAAGACTCCAACTCAAAAAAAAAAAAAAAAAAAAAATCAGCTCACAGGAAAGTGGTACAGTTAGAACCCAATAATGAGGACACATGTGATCCCGCAAGGGGATCGATGCAAAAGCTCTTTCACCAATAACTGATCAGAAAACGCTCGCTTATTTAACACAAACGCGCGCACACACGCCTCCCAATAAGTCTAGGCCTCAGAGTTTGATGACTCAGTACCACCCACAGAAAAATTAAAAATTTAACCATCACTACTTAAAACCCTGGCAAAGCCACAAGTAAATCAAGGAAAGAATGGTAAGTGGTCTGGACGAGGATTTGCCTGCAGGGATAAGGCTGTTAATTTGTTAATTTGTGGACATAACGGGACATTTAGAAGAGGTATAGTGGGGTGTGGTGGCTCACACACGTAATCCCAGCACTTTGGGAGGCCGAGGTGGGAGGATTGCTTGAGCCCAGGAGTTCGAGACCAGCCTGGGCAACATAGCAAGACCTCATCTCTACAAAAAAAAAAAAAAGATCAAAAACTTAGCCAGGTATGGTGGCGAGCACCTGTAGTCCCAGCCGTGGTGAGCTGTAAGCAAGCTACTGCACTCCAGCAGCTTGGTGACAGAGTGAGACCCGGGCTCAAAAAAATAAAAAAATAAGAGGTACACATCTTACCACCCCAATCTTTTTGCCAAGCTCAATAAAAGAAAAAAAAAAGAGGGTGGACGTGCGGTCCCTCCAGGTTCCCGGGTTGGACCCTGCCCAGCTAGTTCCTGAATGTGTTCAAGGATTACTCAGTCGCCGGTTCCAAGGGCTTCCCCGTTGCTCAGAATGCCACCTGTACACTTCTGCAAGGAAGAAACCCCAGGGAGACAGGCGTCCCCTCCTCCCAGGCTTGTGTACAGATACCCATTCAATCCAGCTCCAGGGCAGAGTCCACGCGGGGAGGGAAGATGCAGGAGGGGTCAAAGGGACCCCACGAGTCCAACACCTCTGGACAGGGCAAGAGCAAAGAGCCCTGGCCTCCCGGAGTCGGGGCCCACACCAGGGCGCCCCTTTCCTCTGGGAAGACCCCGGGCCTCCGGTCCGTCACCCGCGCTCCCCACGCGCCTCCCCGGGGCGCCCCGGAAGAGGAAGACCGCCAGGGACC